AAGAGTTTTGAAATACCTAAGTTCCTTCAAAATCACTTTGAGACTCTCAGAAAAGTATCTTATCTTCCGTATACTACTATTTAATTCAGAAGACGTAGTTGGAAATCAAGGCAGATTTCGTTAAAAAAACAAAAATGAAAATATGGCAGCATTTTTCTTTCGGAAGTTTTTGAGGCCTTGAGGTAGATGGTCGGGAACTGAGAGTGGTGCCTAGCTCACTGCTGTAGAAACTTTGGTGTGCCTGGGCTGCTTCCTAATAGGCCTGGGGCTTCCTCCTCTTTGAGAGTCAGTGGTGCTATTGCTTGTTATGTTAGGACGACCCAGAGTGTGCACAGAGCACTTCCTGGGGAGCACAGGACCAGCTGACCGATTCCTGCTGACAGAAGAGCTACTCCGGGAACATGGTGCTACCATCTCTTACTCTGTGTGAGGGAAAAAAGCCTTAACTTCACTGTTATTTGTCATATTTTCTTAGCTAATTAGCAGAAATGCTAAATGGTAGGGAGTATATTATTTCAAATAACTTTACAGATGGAATCATTACTACATAATTGCCTGCCTCTCAACTGAGATGATGAGATAGATAACCTGTCCCTATGGGGTTTCACTTTCCAGTCTATGGTAGGTGTTGCTGTCAATGGACTGTGCATTTTTACCCTCTGTTTTCGTTTTATTCTGATAGGGAGATTTGGCTGATTCTTTTTTCATTGTAGAATCTGGAGAAGTGAAAATTACTATGAAAAGGAAGGTAAGCGTAAGTCCCAAAATGCCACATAATACTAGCAAGGAACAGAATCGATTTTTTTGTTGTTTTGAGTTAAGATTAACTTTCATTTTCCATACACTGAGTGCATGTTAATACTTTTAACTGCTTTGTCAGGGTAAATCAGAAGTGGAAGAGAACGGCGCGGTGGAGATCGCTCGGTGTTCTCGGGGACAGTACTTTGGAGAACTGGCTCTGGTGACTAACAAGCCTCGAGCAGCTTCTGCACACGCCATTGGGATGGTCAAATGCTTAGGTGGGAATCACAAGGGGGCATGCTTCTCCTGGATGGAATCGTTCTGTGTGCATTTATATATTCATGTTGTATAAATTGTCTCACTGGGGTTGTAAGTTTTATGGTCCCCACAAAACATAATAAGGTCAGGGGTCCATTGTATTATGAAATCAGTGTGTGGAAGACTTTCTTTTTTTTTCTTTAAAAAATTTATATATATATATATATGTGTGTGTTTGTGGGTTTCTTTTTTTCTGGTTTTCTGTATAGGCTGAAATAACACTTCATTTTAGAAGTTAAAAATTCCAAGTACCAAGTTCTATGTGTAATCTTTCAAATAAACAACATGTACCATGTTCTCAAAAGAGAAGGTGAAGGCAGTGTTTTTATAAAGTGCCCCCAGGCCTGTGGGAAGTTGGAATGTCTGTGCGAATACTCACTCAGCCTAGTCTAGGAAACAGAGGTGCAGGCTTGTCAGAGCACAGTGGCTTTCTCTGTCAGTCAGCTGTTTACTGCTTTCTTATACCACAGAGTAGCTTGACAGAAATGCCCTCTTCATCTGGACAACATCTATATATATCTGAGATTTTATGTATAAAAAATAACTTACTTTAATGATGAGAAATACAATTCAGATTTCAAAATAGATGACATTTTATGAAAACTGTTTCAACTGTAATTACTCTATGCTCTTACCCCAGTTCAGTTGAATAAACTAAGCTTCAGTTTTCTTAAGGTTTGCAAGTACCCTGAGAATTCACTTCTTAGAGAAATCACTTTTTTAAAGGCTTTAAATAAGTATGATGTTAATCAAGCATGCTTGGTTAAAAGTGAAGACAATTAGGAACTGACAGTTTCCCTGAGAAATGAGTAAGAGTAAAGGTGATGTCAGTGAAAGCGCATGATTTTTTTTAAATTACATTTACATTAAAGAAAAATTGAGAAACACAAAAAAGGTAGGAAAAAATAAGAGTCAGCCATATCACCCTCCCCCACCAGTGATTTCCACATCCTGTTTATAATTCCTTCTTGTTTGTATTTGCATGGGTTGCCTGTTTTTAAACAGTTTTGTACACTGCCTTTTCCATTCATTATAGCTTAGGAATTTTCTCATCTTAGCACATCAAATTGTAACATTCTTTCATGTAAACATACACATTATGAATTATTTAATCACTCCCCACTGGTGAATATCCCCCCTCCCCAACCCCTATAAATATTTTGAGGGTTTGGGCTCCATTTTTTTTGGAGGGGGAGGTTTTGTGCATGTGCACAGACTATTTCTCCAAATATAGGATTTTTTTCCTTGGAAATTATTTTCAGAAGTGGGTTTTCTTCTATGGCCTCTGATACATATCACCAGAAACTTTCTTTACACTAATTTACATGCTACTTGCAGTGTAAGAAAGTCCATTTACTGTTCTTGTAAACATGTCTATATTATGAAGTTTTTAAACATGCATGAGACAGGCAAGCAGGGGAACATGTAACATATAGAAGGGGACTAAAGCATTATTTTAACTGCTATTTTGAATTGGCTAGACAATAGTATAAAAGAGTAAAAACTACATTTGGTCTTCACAACATAACATAGTAAACCCTGAGAAGGGAAAACAGGACAGAAAACACTCTCTTACCTCCTTCGAATTCATAATGCCAAGGAGGGAGCATCAAAACTAATTTATTTTTTATAATTGCAAGGCCTTGCTGTAACAGTCCCTCATTTCTTTCTAAAACTGCATCACGATCCTCCCACCAACCTAACATTGCACATCGTATTGCCAGGGGAATCTACACTGTTTCCTTTTTGAAACGGAACATTTTTACCCTTATGTTTTTTTCTTATATTGGATGTTTATCTGACAATGCCATTGCATTATTGACACTATGCAGATATTATAAATTACTTAGAAATTCTTCAGATTTTCAAAGAATGTTATTTTGCTTTTATTCTCCTTTTCTTAGCCATGGATGTGCAAGCATTTGAAAGGCTTTTGGGACCTTGCATGGAAATTATGAAAAGGAACATCGCCACCTATGAAGAACAGTTAGTTGCCCTGTTTGGAACAAACATGGATATTGTTGAATCCAGTGCATGAAGCAAATGTATGGAGCAAGAAGACCTGTAGTGACAAAATTACACAGTAGTGGTTAGTCCACTGAGAGTGTGTTTGTGTAGATGCCAAGCATTTTCTGTGATTTCAGGTTTTTTCCTTTTTTTACATTTACAGTGTACCAGTAAACAGTAGTGATTTTATAGTCAATAGGCTTTAACATCACTTTCTAAAGAATAGATCAAAGAAATATCAACATACTGATGAAATGACTTTATACTCCACAAAATTGTGATTTGACTGAAAGGTTTATTCAAATGATTGTAATATATTGAAAGTATGTGTTGAAGAAGATAATTAAAGGATGTCACCATAGGCAATGTGCTCATTCTGACTTTCTCGGATTGATGTGTGTCAGTGACTATGCCCATTTTAAGAGAGGACTGGCAGGGAACCATTCTCTCCAGTATGCATCATGTTCTTTTTATGATACATTATAGATAGTAAGTACAATTTTAGTCATTTTTGTTTTAAAGTTTTTCTGGCTTGATAAGTTATGTGCTGGCCTTTAGCCTATTGGTGAAATGGTATAAAACATCATATGCAATTTTAAAACCTTTTATATTTTTGCAATAAAGTACACTGACTTCTTTGACATAATGTCAGTAACATATATTCCAGTGGTTTTAAAGGACAGGTAATTTAGTCATTATAATAGGGAAGAGCCTTTTTACGTGACAGATCATTAATACATTTCCTCATAAAGCATATATCCCTGCTACCTTTCATTTTTCAGTTCTCTGTACTATCTTTAAAAATTTGAGCGACATTTCATTGTCACAAATAGTTGTTTTAAAATACTATTTAAACTTGTCTGCTAAAGCCTAAGATCTTATATATAACTAAAAAAAACCTCTCCTATACCAAAAATATTTTGGGGTCCTTACCAACATGCCCACAGGGTATTTCTTTGTTCTTCAGTAGGTGTGTACATAATACGATTTTTCAGACATCTATTCCCGTTTCCTCCAAGGAGGCAGGTATAGGTTTTTATAAGCAAAACCATATATAAAGATAAAAAGAATTTCTGCCCATTCCAAATAAAACATCAGGCCTTGCCATTTGCTTTAATGTAGACTCAAAAGTGTGGAATGAATTCAGTATTTTGATAATTGACATGCTTAGTATTCTCTGGAAGATGCATTTATATCCGACCAAAGCAATATATTCTTTGTCTAGGTGCACAGGACCCCAGTGTCTAGACAGATTAATTCTAACCCCAGTTGTTCACTTTTAAATGAGTAGTTTTGTTTTGGGAAACATGTTTCAAAGAAATATACACATGGGTAAAAATATTCTGTGCCTAGTGTGGTCTTAGTTAGAGAATGTTTATGGTCTTACTTGTATAATGAAAATGTGGTTAAAATATATCTCCAATTACGTATATATGAGAAGTACGTGAAGTGTGACTTCAGCCACGTTTTAGAACACTGTTCAAAAATTCTGCAAACTTTCCTGTAGGAAGGGAGCTTACTATATGAAGGTGACTTGTTTTCTATTTCAGATTTTATTTTAAAAGCCACATCTGTTGAACAAGAAAAAACACAACCCCAAAGTCCTACTTCATCATTCTGTATTCATAACTTTATTCACTTTTCCAAGTTACCTATCTTGTTGCATAAGCTGATTGTTAAATATTCATGGAACAGCAAACGCCTGTTTAATAAAAGAACTCTGACCAAGGCTGTAAATGCCAGTTACATTATTTTCAGTATCATTGGTTATATTTAAATTTTCCTTATAATAAAACACACTTTTATAATAAAATGTCCATTGCTTTTAATGTTTTCTTCTTCTTCAAAATGACTTCCATAGTGTCTCTTACACTATGTGAAAAGCATGCATGGGAGAGCTAAGCCCCCCGAGCACACTACAGCAAGGAAACGTGGGGCTGCTGGCAGACACTGTTAACAAGTTTAACCTTCAGGCATGTGTGATATAACTGTGGTATGTTGCGGACTCATCTGGCCACTTAGAATAACCACATTACGTGTGGCTAATCAGGGAGTTTATGTGTTAAAGTATCTAGACGCCAATATTTAGTCACTAGCTAGAGTACTTACTATTTGAAAATTCTCCAATTTCATTCAAGGGTGCACTAAATGTGGCTAAGAATTCTTTTGGGAATCCTTTTAACACAAAGGTGCTTCCCCTTATTTCTCTCTGGTGGTGGTGGTGGTTCCTGTGCATCAATATGAACTAGGGCTTGTGTATATTATCTTACCTGTGACACACTTGGCTGAATGTATCCGGTTTACTGTCACAAACTGGCTATTTAAAATGCTTTAAAATGCTGCAAGTGAAACTTAGGGTGTAAAGCCAGGGACTTTGGACTTTGACATAGGTAAGATTAAGTGCTGAGTGCTTTTCCTTTCCAAATCATCTTTAAAATATGGATGTAATTTTTCCTAATTTTCTCAAATGTTATAACGAAGATTAGATGACCTTTGGCATTCTTAAAATAATGTGTAGGCATAAAGGTAAGTAACACATCTGGATAAGCCAAGGCTTTGTTAAGTAACTGAAGGGACTCTATCTAGATCAAATGTCAATACCTAAGGGAGAAACAGAATTATTAAAGCAGAAGGGAGAAAGGGAGTTGGAACGCTGGCTTCTAACACTGAAAGTGTGGGGTACAGCCTGATGTTGAATGTCTGAAAGAATCTTGACAAAAAGCAACTAGAGTAAGATATGACCTTACCTGTTCTGGGCAGCAAAACTGGTTGAGCAAGTCTATATAGCTGTTAGACCTCACAAGTACTTAAAAAACCCTTCATAGTGTAATGTATTGTGGAAATAGAAGCAATAAAACATACCAGGTATTTGCAGACTTACATGCCAATAATAACTGTGTGCTTAAGTCAGTTCAGTTTCTGTAACTGAGAATAATCAATTGACTTCACCAAATCATTGATCTGAGTCCAGGGCAGAACTCCCAGGCAGTTGAGAGCTTTTTGTTCCTTATGCAATTCTTGGTCTCACAGATTTTTCTGTATTGAGCCTAGTATACAGTGAAATTTGTAGAAACTTCCCAATGCAGATAGACTATTTTGAGAGGAAAACTATTTGACCAACAGATGTAGGCTTTCCGTCCCTTTTATGCTTGAAGTGTGTAATCTAAAATTGCCTAGGAAATCCTGAGGAGGCAGGTGACATTTATATGTGGGAAGGCGTGATGATGTTTGATAGGGAAATACTTGCACCATAAAAATGAAATGCAACTTACGTACGTGGGTTTCCCCGATTCTGATTTAACCACAGCCTGCCTGAGTCTTGCCATTTCCTCCCTCAAAAACCAAAGAAAAGAAAACAAAAAATGCTCTGCAAAATGTATATACACCAAACGTTTCATTAGTACCAATTATAACCGAGTCGTTATAGTAAGTAAATGCATTGTTTACTGTCAATTAGAAGAACAGAGAATGAGTCATTTTTCTAGGTGGAAGGGAAAGTAGGTGTGAGCTGGAAATGGACTCTGGAATGACAAAAGCAGCCTTAACCCTTGACTGCAACAACCCAGAAGTGAAACCCTCAATGTTTTCTCTTTAACCTGAAAAAAAAGTTTACAAAGCAGAACTCTTGGATAAGTTTATGAGTCATAAATATGACCAGTCAAAATCTTGGATAAAGTTGCTTCAAATTGCTGACTTTCCATCTTTGTCCTAATTGGAAACCTACCTAGATCCTGCAGAGGAATAAGAGAAGAAATCAATCCCTATAACTCCACTGCCTCTTTTAGGCCAGAGGCTGACATTTCATACAGATGTACCTCCCTTTACATAATAACTACATTCTTGTAATGTATGCAAATGACATTTTAAAAAACCAAACAATATTTTAATTCCTTTAGGACAGGTGCACACTCCAAAGATACCTTTGTCAAATCTTTTTTCTCATAATTGCTCCTTAGAGCTGAACTTCAATACCTTAACATTTTTGTTACTGTAACGCATGACTATGCTATGTCACTTAAAGGGTTGAAATGTACAGGAAGTAGGATTAAGTAGAACTATTTGCTGTGCTCTCTAAATATCACGTTTTTCTTAATTCCAAATTGGACAACTTAACAAAAACTCTTTGAGGGCAACTGAGACCACTAAGGGTAGTCCCCTCCCACCTGAGGACACCCAAGTATATTTTTCTAGACATGATTCTCAACTCCAAATACATTCAACTGCTTAGATGAGCCCTGCACACAAAGTCGCGCCTGCACAGCAAGCTCATTTTCCAATGTTGAACCCATCCTTTCCCCATCTCGCCGTCCCCAAATCTGTTATCTCCAGTGTTTCCTAGTTCGGACAACAGCGTCAACATACCACAAATACCCAAGCCAGAAATCCTACCCAACACAGAAATTCTTGATTCCTTTTTCCCTCGACTCTTCCTCCAAATGGTGAGCAGTAAGACACCACATAACCACTGAAGACAGGCCTTGCTTTATGGTCATCTGAGTAAAATCTAAACTTAAGTTGCATCCAGACCCCATTCTAAAATGGCACTCATCATTAGCCCCCAGGCATTTCCTTACAAGCTGACTTTCCCTGAGTAATCAGAATTACCAAACTACCTCATTTTAAAGTATAGAAGGTATATAGGAGGATATTTCTAAGAGGTTAAATAATCTACCATGAAATACACTTTCTGAAAAGTTTGGGCACTATTTTAGACCACATGTGCTCCATTTCCTAGTTTTACACAGAGGGGTCCTCAGTTCAGGGTAGTTTGACTTACGGTTTTTCTACTTTATGAGGGTGCAAAAGTGATGTGCATTCAGTAGAAAACCATAGTTGGAATTGTCAATTTGGATATTTTCCGGGGCTGTTGTCTGGCAGGATGATCCTCTCTCATGATGCTGGCAGGGCAGCAAGCCATTATGAGGGTTAACAGCCATTCTGTACCCACAACCATTTTGCTTTTCACTTTCAGAACAGTATTCAATAAATTACACGATTAGCACTTTATCATAAACTAGGCTTTGTGTTCCATGATTCTGTCCAAATGTAGGCTAATGGGAGGTAGGAGAGACCAAGCTATGATGACTGGTGGGTGTATTAAATGTATTTTCAACTAACAGTACTTTCAATTTAGGATGGGCTTATCTGGACATAACCCCATCATAAGCTGAAAAGGATAGGTACTTGATCTGAGTAATTTCATTTGCTTACCTTTTAGCAATGTGAACCATATTCTCAGTATTTAAGCAATGCAGTGTGCTTGAACTTTTATCTTTCTTAGTCTGGGAAAGGAGCCATTGGTGTGCCCAATGTGGAACTGAGGGAGATATTTATGTTGTAATTTCACCCCTAAATAGGATTCAACCTTTTTTTTAATACCATCTTTAACAAATTAGAACTTGATGTTTCTTTATTAAAACATAATTGTTTTACAAACTGCTGAAAAAGCATTTTGATTTTAGATGACAACTTCCTGACATTGTGGTATGGTTTGTGTAATATCTGTGTATTTTGTATCTGCACTAACCAAGAGTAGGTACTGATTTTATAATGTCAATTTTATCATAGAAAACCTGAAGAACAGATAAAAACTCTTTGGTTACCTGTTTTTGTGCAAGAGTTGAATTTACATATGTAAAGATTTTCAAGGAGATCTTATTAGTATCGTACTTTGATCTTTGCTCTGTCTTAGGAGTTGGCAGGTTTGTAAGTCACGCAAGAATTAATGATGATGTTCTTGTTAAATATACTAACAACTAAGGTACTAATGTGGTCATTTAGTCTCCCAGGAAAGTCAGAAGACAGGATTTATTATCCACTTAAAGGTGTAGAGATTCTAATACTGATATTCAGTTGAGACTAGAATTTTTCTTTTATTCAATGACTTGGATAAAAATGAAAGTATGTGGAAATATTTCATATCTTTGTATATCCTTATCAGCACAGTGGTCAACAAATAGTAGGAACTAAATATTTTTTGAATGGATGAATGGAAAAAACTTTACAATACTATTAGAAGATATTTACAGTAATGTACAATATCTTGATCTGAAGTTGAATCTCTTCCCATGAAATCTCTTCCCCATAAGAGTGTCCACCAATAAAAATATGTCCATGAAGATTTTAGTAGAAACTTTCAAACAGAACACCTTTTAAAGTAAGGTAAAGTTCAGCCAAAAGCATAATGCAATGAAAAGGGGAAAGAAGTGATTCAAGGTCTTGAGAGCTCATGTGTTTGGAAGGGAAAGTTTAATTTCCTGGAGGGTGTTTACTGTAAATTTCTCACATTTTCGTTTTAAATGATTAGATAAATTCTTGGGACTTTTCTTTTTCTCAAGAAATTAAATACTTGTTTCCATTTTCAATTCTGGGGCACAAAGACCCTCCACTACTTTAAAAAAAGATAAAACCCTGTCCTTTTTCCTCAGTGAAAAATACACACTTTGTTGGCCTTCTGAATTAAGAAAGAAAAAACTTGTTTGATTACTATTTGTAACAAAAAGTGAATCTTTCATCTTATGGTAGGGACAACTATTTCATAAATAATTTCACTTTAAGGACTCAATCAGAACCCCTAAAATAATATGAAAACTTGTTTCAACATACAAGAGTTACTTTGGATTGTTTCGATTTGTTACGTGGCTTTCAGGTAGATTTAAAAAGAAATATAAGTGGTTTAAAGGAATAATTAGTTATGATTTAAGGCTTTTTTTCAAAAATTTTTACTGTAGATTTCTTAATGTAGGTTTTCCTCCTCTTAAAGCATACATACATAAACCTATATATAAGATCCAATGGTATAAAATCTAAAGCATAGCTTAAATGATTAAACACCAAAGGTTGAAAGGAATATAATAATACCTTTGTAATGTGAATGGTAAAAGCATCAATTACAGACTAGACGACTGTGACGGACAGCCATGTTTAAAGTGAAGGGAAGTGTAAAGCCAGAGAAGCCATCCTCTTCTGATGAGTCAAAGCATTAGCAACTTCAGGCAGAATTTCTAGGGGAAACAAACATTCTTTTATCATGGGAGGTTGTCTGGAGGGGGAAAATGGTTAACAAAAGCTCAGCAGAAAACTTAATGATTCACAAGTTAAATCACTTCAAATCACACATTATATCCCTGTGTATTACCTTAACCAAGGTGCAGGCTGGTCAGTATACCGCTTCGACTCGCCTCAGTTTCAAAGTCAGTATTAATCCCCTCTGCTCCCTTACAGCTTTGTAAATTCTCTAGACCCGGAGCGTCTCTCTCACAATTCATCTCCCAAGGCCTCTCAGTGCCTAGCACATGGCCGGCATTTGGTATGAACTGAATGCACAGAGTTGGAAAAGAAACCTCAAGTTGCTGTTCTGGGGGTGACGAGGCAAGGCTTCGGATAAATGAATTCGAGCTTTCCCCGTGGAGCCCACCACCACCTTTCAACATCTCCGTCACGCCTGGGGCCGTGATCTGTGGGGGACGGGGGTCCCGAGCTAGGCTGCACTGCTTCCGCTGGAGCAGTCATCTCCTTCCCCTCGCACTACAACAATACCTTGGCCGCCAGCCAAACCGGGAGCAACGAGCGACTTTGGCTGTTCATGGCCCGGAATGGGTGCTGCGAGAGGGGCTGGGGATGCTGCTCCTAGGGCCAGCAGAGGCCCAGAGAAAGAGAGGAAGCCAAAGCTTTAAAACACTCCCTTCCTCCGCCCCCTCCCTTTTGTCCCAGAAACCAAAACAAACGAGCTGATACACGTGTCCCTATGACTCTTGTTTACTATCAAGACTGCGCTGTGCACAGACTTATGGGACCTGTAGTCCAACCTGTTCCTCCCGCCTGCAGTTTCCCAGAGGAACCAGCAAAGCTGAGACTACGAACCCACAATCCATTTCGGAGGCAAAGTTAGGCTTGAGTCCCCGGAGTCTCGGCAGTAATCCAATCCGAAGAGTTCACTCTAGTGATTGACACGCCATCTCATCCAGTAAACGGAACACAAAAGTCAACACAAGCCCGCCCCCAAAATGGGCCAAGGTATCACCCAATGGGAAGGGGGAAGGATCGAGTGGCAGCTCCATAAACCAATAAGAGGGCGAGAGAGCTGGTAGGTGGCTCAACCCTCCTGGGGTTGAGGGGAGGGGGAAGAAGAAGCTTGAAAGACTTGGTAATGGCGACGGGTTTGGTAAGTAGGAAAGTTTCGGTTGACGAGTGAGACCGGCGAGGGGAGCAGTAACGCGCGCCGGAGAGGCCGGCGTCCGTTGGAGAGGGGGTACGGGAGCTGCAGGTGGCGTTGTCGCGGCCAGGGAGGCCTGCGCCGGTGCTGCCCGCACTCGGCGGCGGGATTGTTGTCCTCTCAGTCCGGGAAGGGATGGGGGTGGGGAAGGGAGGGGCAGGATCTCGAGGGGACCGGGCGGCCGGGCGAGCTCGTCCGCGCCCCTCCTCCTCGGAGGGCCGCCCCGACCGTCCGATAACCGCCCCCCGCGAACCCGCGCCCCCCGCGAGCTCACCTGGCTGCGCGGCGGCGCGGCCCCAGGGGTCTCGGGGGCGGAGGTTGGGAGGAGCCGGCGTGCGGGGCGCTTGGGGCCGTTCTGCGCAGTGGGTGGCCGAGCCGAGTGCGGACACGGGGAGGGCCAGGGCGGGGAAGGGGCAGACGCGGCGCAGGGGCTGCCCTGGAAAGTTTTACTTCGCCTCCCCGCGAGTGGGCGGAGGGTGGGAGATCGGCCCGGGCTGGGCGCCGGCCGCGAGTCCGCGACCCCAGTGAGGCACCGCCTCCTTCGGGGCCGCGAGCGGCTCCGGCCGAGCTGGGAAGCTCGCGGAGTCGCTCGGCCCCGGGGCTCATTGTTACGCATTTCGAATGAATGGACTCCGAGGCGCCTGCGCGGTGGAGCTGAGCCGAGGGGAAAAACAAGCCTGGAGTCCAGGCTGCGGTCACATGATGGGGGGAGGGGAGGGGAAAACGATAAATGGCGAAAGAGGATGGGGGATGGACCTGGTGTGAACCTGGAGACGCTGCCTCCCTGTGACCGAGCGCCGGGGCTTGGCAGGCAATTCCAGTCTCCGCCTTCGAACCTCTATGCTGCTGCCCCAGGCGTATTGAAACAAAACAAAAAGAACCCAGGCGAAATCGATTGCTGGCCCGGGTTTTTGTGGCTTCTTTGAAACGCTGCATGCTGTCTAGGGGATTTCACTCACCGCCCTGCTTTCAGTACTGTGTAGAGTTCATTCTTCAGTTTTCAGCAAAAATCGTATTTAAAAGGAGCACTGGCAGCTGGGCAGTACTCAAAATTGTCTTTAGCTCGGGGCGCCGCAGATGCTAAGACGGGAGGAGGGTAAAAGGGAGTTGTGTATACTGGGAAGTGTTGGAGTCCTACCAACTATTTTGGCCAAGTGCTTTAGATTTATCTTCCTCTAACTAGCAGTAACAGATGACTCCACCTAACAGTGGTTTTGAAATTAAAGTTACCTTTGGAAAAAATAATTTTAACATTTGTAAGTCGTTTTTATGGTTTATAGACAATTATCTACATTTGTAATGTATTCCTAAGACGTTTAGTCTTTGTTTTTTTGTTTGTTTTCTTGCTGTTTTTTTGCCTTACGCTAACCAGAGTGTTGGGGTCACCTGTAAAGTTTCCTTGATCAAACTATAGTAGTCCCTCCATGAGAGGGGCGGGGTGGGGGGGAGGATATGTTCCAAGATCCTGCTCCCGTGAATGCCTGAAACCGGCATAGTCTGAGCGCTGTATATGCTGTTTTTTTCGTATACATATATACCTATGATAAAGTTGAATTTGTAAATTAGACAAGACAACAATAGTAAAACAGGATGTTCATAAAAATGTACTATAATAAAAGTTACGTGGATGTTGTCTCTTTCTCAGAATACCTTACTGTACTGTACTCACCCCCTTGTGATGATGCCAGATGGTGAAATGCCTGGGTGGTGAGATGAAGTGGCGTGAGTGACCTAGGTATCGAGAAGTAGGTTAGACTGCTATTGATCTTACGACACTTTGTCAGGAGGAGAATCATCTGCTTCCGGACTGAGGTTGATTGCGGGTAACTGAAACCGCAGCAGGCTAACCGCGGGTAAGGGAGGACTACTGTGATCCATTTTACAAACTGCGTTTCCTCCTGTGAGGGAGAAGGGAGTTGTAAATTCTCTTCATCCCCTCCCACAGACAGTTTGAGCGGGTGTAGAAAGTCCTTCGTGATGAGGGGAGGGCATGTCTTAGAAGACCCTGTCTGTGATAATCCATATGAGGTTGGGAAGGTCAGGGCTCGGAAGGAGAGGCACTCGAAAATAAGCGTCTATCCTGTGTTGATCTACACCTTTTGTCTTTTTTCTCAAAAAGATGTTCCCAATCAGTTGTCAGAGTCCTGTTTTCCTCATCCATAATAATACTTTGTTCACAATATTTAAAATAATACTTGCATCCAATAAAATTGGACGATGTGGAAATGTTCTGCACGTAGTAGGTTGGCATTTAGTAAAACCTAATTTCCTTTTTTATCCACTGAGACAGCTATTTCTGGACTTCTCCATCCTTTTTAAGATTCTGTGGCTATTTACTTCTGAAAGTTGAAAAAGTCAGTACCACTCAAATTTGTGATACTGAACATGGCTTTTCAAAGTAAAAAATGCTTGTCAATTTTACTCTTCCCTTTTGAGAATCACTGATCTGGTGAAGAGTTGACATGTGACATTTAGTTAACTCTTAACTAAAGTACAAGTGAGCCACACCCAAATCCTTTAATACCAAAGCCATATACAAAAGCATGAATGAACAAGAGGTTTAGCTCCACAGGGAGATATTTGAAAGAGGAGCTTGTTTATCAGAATGAACATCTGTCTGGTGTAATGTATGTGGGAGAGTATTTTTGAGTATGGACTCTAAGGATATTCCTTTACTATCTCAGAGGCCTGCCTTAGGCCAAATAGTTTGACAGAGCAAAATAAGAGACTCAAAAACATTACATTTGTATATGGGTTTGAATTTTGTTTTCATGTTTTATTTAATGCTCACAGTAGTCCTGTGAGTTGAGTTAGAGGTGCTGTGAGGCTGAGGGTAAGGACCTCCCCAGGTTACATAGTGAGCAAGCATTGTTCCTTAGCCTGGGCTTTCCTGTACTGTCGGTAGCTTTACAGAAGTGAAACCACCCTCAGTGATCTCAAGACCAGACTTTTGATAGCCTTGAGCAACGAGAGGTGCAGACACACAGAACCAAATTCAGGATATTTATTTGGTCTCTTCTGTTATTTGTAGGTATCTCTGAAATGATTTTTTCCAGCCTCATTTAAGGATGTGATGGGATGGATGGTGGTAGATAAGTAAGACATAGTGCTACAGAAGTGATGTAAGTTGCAAGATGTTAGTGCACTGAGAGTGGTGAGCGGTTGGCACCGCAGGACGAGCTGTGGGGGGAATGTCTAGGCAGGAAGAGAAAACCAGAGCTCCGCAGAGGGAGGGGAACATGAGAGGATGTTTTGTACTGTTTTGTGTGAGAAACATAGTACAGTAGATGTTCATAAAGAGTTTGAGTCATTAAGATAGGTTAAAATGTTTTATGTACTTAAAATATTGGAAAGAGTTAAAATCTGTCTAACCTGTTAATATTAGCTGTTCAAAGAACTCCCATAGAATGACTAGTTCTTATTGTGTCTTAGGCAAAACTTAATAAGGAATCTGCACAGATAATACAAATTACCTTTTCTTTTATGAGAACTTTTGCAAAGGAAGCTGCAGGCAGGTCGCTTAACATAGAAATTGGGAATGTGCATACAGTGTTTTTAATATGTTCTCCCTGAAATAGTTCATAGATGTCCCTGCATACTCATACTGTGTTTCAGTATAGTATTTTAAATAGACTGAAAGAAAATGTTATAGTTCTTACCATGTCAGACCTCTGTTCAAAAGTACTCAGTGGTTTCCCATCATCTGATGATTGCTAATATTCATATAAGCCACTCTACATTGAGGGTTTACTCTGTTAGGCACTTTTGGAAGCCTTTCACCTCTGATAGCTTACTGAGTTTTTACAACCTATACGGGTGTTTTGATTATCTTCATTTTACAAACAAGGCATACAAATTTTAAGTTGTCTAGGACCCATAGCTAGTAATTAGCAAATCTGATGCAGCCTCATTTCAGAGTCCTTACTATAAATCTACAAAAAGCAAACCAATTTTCCTAAACTAGAATTGAAGATTCTGATCCCAGTCTACCTTTCCAGCTTTAGTATCCATAACCACAAGACACAAGACCATCCTCCCTTCTGTGATGCTGGATTTTCTGTTGGGCGGATTTCATCCAGTACAATGACCACTCTTCATTCCTTTTTACCCATTCATAGCCAAGTCCTCTCTGTAGAGCTGTGGTCATTTGCTTACAATTTTCCACTAAAGTGTAGATTCCTTGAGGTTCGTGACAAACCCTTCATCACTGAAGTCTCACATTGCATCTAGTCTGGTGCCTTGTATATAATATCTATTAAATACATGAATAAATGTATTTAAAAGGACTTTGCAATCATTTTTAGCCCACTGGTTCTCACAGTGCATCTGGGGTCCTTCTGAAATAAAAGAAAAACCAGTGCACATGGCTGTACCCCAAACGAAATGAATCATATTCTCTCGAGCTGAGGCCTGGCCATTATTTTGTTTGAAGCACACAGGATTATATGTGTTGAGGGTTGAGATTCCCTGATCAAGCTAAGTTTGCTTGATTTTTGCAGTGAGAAGGTGGAGGCTCAGAATCATGATTTGGCCAGTTATGCTTGAGAACCTGATCTGTGTTACATCTCTTGTAAGCCACCGATTTTGTAGAAAGTTATTTGTTATACCCCAGCAGAATTGCTGGGGTTTATATAATGAGTTTATATAATCAGTGCATTATGGGGATTGAACTAAACTGGAAAAGTGTTAATTTCTAGTAATTGCCTCAAACATCTTTGAGATAGGTCAGCTGTTACTTGCCTAAAGCAGTGGCATGATGCATGACTTGTATTGAGATGTGTTGGGTAACTTGTCATAGTACTTTCCTGGGAGGAAATTGGTGAAGCTAAATAGCTAGCTGTCTGGTCTTCTGTTGTTACCTATTTTCCATTTACTATCTACTTAGGACATTCAGTGACCAAAGTACATATAATATTGCCCTATATCAATCTAGAGATGAAAAAAGTTTTAAAGAAGTCATTTTACATTTGTTTTCACTCATTTGCTTCAGTTCGTCCTCACAGCTACTCCAGGAGGAAACTAGAGCAGGTATCATTAGCCCTGTTTAACAGATGCAGACACTGAGTTAGAAGGAACTCAGCCACTTACATCATATATTTAGTAATGAATCAAGCTGGAATCAAACCTGTGTTTCTTTACCCCTAACCCAGTGCCCTTTTCGCTACTCGGTAGTATGTACAGCTTAGAGTCGGTATTGAGTAAGGCTCTGTGTCATGCCCAGGGTATGGGTCATTTTTGAAGGGTGCCAGCAGACAGCATCTGAAGTAGAAATAAAGTAAGCCACTCGGCAGTTTGGCTTTATAAGAAGTTCAGTTGCCATCCACCTACTAATCTCTAGGAATCTAAAGACATAATCAGATGTGACGGAAAACTTAAAAAAAAAATTAAGAATGTAAATACAGTGTTATTTAGAAGAGTGAGAAAACTAGGAACATTTTCAGCAGTAAAGATAAGTAGATTTTGGCACATCCTTATGATATCTGAAAAAAATAATGAAATAGGAAGATGTTTATGAACTTAAGGGAAAAGGTATTAATTATATTATGAAGTTGAAGAAAAACATATGATTGTAGTTATCTGCATGAAAAAGAGATTGGAGTACAAAATAATACACCAGAATGTTAACAGTATCTAAAACTGGTTGGTGGGATTAGAAGTAATTGTATTCCTTTTTTTTTTTTTTAAGTTCTTTCATTTTTTTCAACAGTGATTGTTTATCTTATAGTCAGGAAAAATATATTTCATAATAAAAAATCCTAAAAAATCCTTTATAGAAAAAAGTTTGTCCATGTTGCCAGTGTTTGTTGATGATTATGTCTTGCCTTAGAAAGCTCTAGTATAAATATTAAGCAGTTAACATCTTTCACTGCATTTTTTTATCAGCTTGGGCTGGCATACTTGACTTCTAACAGCAATATATTTCATTGTTTTATTTTGAGGAAAAGCTATGTGTCATGTTAGAATGTTCTGTGTATTTCTTACTAACTCATTAGAACTTTTTAAAAAATAAGAGATTTGGAATAGAGCCTGAGAAATCAGGATATCTCCCTGCTGCTGTCACCTGTGTTAAATAACCAATTTGATCATTGTCCAGAGACCAGGGATGTGAAAGGTATACCCACAGTTTATTTTCATAACAAAACTTAGTTGGTAGACTTGGCTGAGAAATTGTTTAGGTGTATTAACCTAAATTATTTTCTTCCTTGTGGTAACTGTGTACGCTTGAGACGATGGTAGACGTACTGTTTGTTTAGCTAAATTTCCCATGATTGTTATTCATCTTTCTAGAAATAATAGTCTGTTCAGAAGGATACGTGGTTTTTATTATTATTATGGCCTCAAAGTCTCAATTCCCAAAGTCTCATTAAGAAAACAGCATTTTAATTTCATGAGAAGTATATGGCAATTTAAAAAATTCTTAAGTGTTCTTTAAACTTGTTCACCTCTCATCAAGGATGAGAAAACAAACGAGTGAACACATTTGGTAAATAGAGAAAATAGAATCTTAAAATAAGAGAAAAAAAGGAATATTCCTTCACTTCTTTAATTTGAGGTAAGTTTGTGAATTTTAAATTTGAAGATACAAGTTAAAGAGATTTCCTTGGTCTCAATATTTGG